TTGCTAATTCATGATGAATTCAATGATTTATCCTGATCACACTCAAAGTATGAAATCAAAACGGTAAATGTTTTCCGAACAACTTAATATCACAGTACCTACAAACTTATGTAAGTATAAAAAGCATATGAAAATGACTAAATGGTATTTTTGCGTTTTCTCCTCAAAAATGTAGTCTTCTAGCATAGAATTCATTATTTATGTCTGTTAGTTAATTACAGTAATAGAAATAAACAAAGAATCTCACAATGTGAGAATTGTTTTAAGAGAAAAAATGTGTAAAAAAGAAAACGTATAAGGATTACAACGAGAAACACAGTAAAAATCGTAGTAAGAAGTAAAATAAGTTTTATTACTATACCAAGTGTTTATACCAGTTTATTAACTCTTGTTGTTTCATTTCTACAAAAATAAACAAATGATATCTTTTTTCCACCAATATCTTAATGCAATCTGTCTATTCATCAAGAACAAACTTACAATTTTGTTCATTCTTGAGATATTACTGAAAGCAATTGCGTTTGAAAATCCTTCAATATGACTTTTTTAAAATGACATTGTTGACTGATATCTTTAAGTCTCAGAATAAACTGAAGTTCGAATGATTTGACTTGAACTAATTTGATACTGTTTAAAGGAAAAATGGCTCAATAATGTCATGTCGAAAATATAGGGGTGTAGAAAATACAGATCTGGTCCTTGACCGAAGTAGGATATTCTTCATCACGTATCGATAAATGATAATCGGATAGAAAAATCCATATTAATTCCTTTAAATTATTTAACGGTTATAAAATTAGTTGAAATCCTTACTTTCCTTATATTTTTAATCAATTTATTTACTAAATCTGAACTTTTTATCAATTATATCCGTGAAAATATTTACCAGTGATGTGTCATTAACGCATTGCTGGAAATATGTATTCACATTAATATTCGTATAATTTTTACTGACTTGTTACTGAATAGAAAATTATTAAATATGTGATTGTACACACCTATACTTGTACTTTGCTACTACATATGCACCAAGGCATTAAATTATCTAAGCAATTATTATCTTTATAACTACAAGTTGGGAAATTCACTTTTGGCTTCGCTTCTTTATGCTCATATGTCTGAATGTTTGATGTAACCGATCAAATGTGTGACGCTTTCTTATGTTACAATTATTGTGTTGATTTGATGAAACTTCTATATTAGATTTATTTTTCTTATTTCAGATTATTTTATTAAAAGAATTGATTTATGAAAATTAAGCATACATAAAGTTGAATCATATCAGTACAAAGTCTACAAAATGATATTCTTATTAGTCAGTTATATTCGAACGAGTAGCGTATCATGAATTCAATTGAAATGGATATTAACATATTGAAATTAATTAATCATGAGTGTATTTTAAGTACTTAAGGGGTGTTTTAGTGGCCTTGTGTCTGACTCCAGTTAAATTGTGTGGTGATTGTTATCCAAATATAGATACCACCTATCTTCATATATATTTATCGATTTAAGTCGCGTTAGAGAATAGCGGAATAAAATAAACCAAATACGAGAATGAATTTTGAGTATACATATTTCATCTAATCGTTGATCTGAACAGACAGTCAGGGGAACGAAGCAAAACAAACGAAATGACGCGCAGTGGAGAAGGTGAATGAGTCAACTTGATTTAATCAAGCGTAACTCAATATTTATACTGAGACAAAAATAAGTTACAAACACGTGATAAATGGGGCACACACATACGTTCATATGAAAACAGTCAGAATTAACAAGCAAATAAGTGACAAGGTTAAATTGTGACTTGAGAAGAATGCATGATTTGGTCTGTCCCATGTTGGCTTGACATATTACTAGCCACTACAGTTTTTATTATATCAGTTCAGACAGGTGTTGATGCATTCATCAAAAATACTAACGAGACTTATAGACAAATTAAATATGCTTGTTTCACGAAGTTGTTCATTCCGTCTTTTTTCTTTTTGCTAACAATCACTTCATGTCAATAAGGTGTTCACGGTTATGATCGTTAATTTTGCTTTCAACAAATAATTGACGCACGATTGTTTCTTTCTAATAGTGCTCAATTTCAAGTGTAAATAAATCCCCAAATTTGTTTTTGTTTAAAGAAAAACTCATGTTTTTAATCCAGTAGTTTTACAATTTATTCAGTTATAAACAACTGATGGAGTATATTGTTTTCCTTATCACTACTATAATCATATTTCTAGCACATCACCTTAAATGACCTAATAATCTTAATCTGTTCAATTACAATAATAACAATAATAATAAATTATCAATTTTGTCAATATATCGTCGAAATATCTTCAATCTTTGAAATTTAATTTTGCGCTATTCCTTTTTGTGACCTACATTTATCATTATTATTATTATTATTATTATTATTATTATTATTATAAGTTTCATCATACTGCTTCGTTAAACAAAATTATTGATTAATAAAAAAGGACACTTCTACTCACTGGGTGTTGTCACTTTATTATCTTGTCTGTAAAAAAAAACAATCATGTCTTTAAGCTTTTATTCATTTGATGTTGGTCATAAAATTGTAATTCCTTTTTTTCAACTAAGTTTCACTGCTTCACTTTTTTTATAATCCTTCAAAATTTTACTTGTTCTGTGACCGGAAGATTGTAGCTTTAAATCTGTAAGAATAGTGATAAATTTAGCAATAACAGATTTTAATAGATACGTATTGTATTTATTAATATATTTTATCAGATTTGATTAGAATTATGTAATTTAAAAATGTAGATAGACTGTTTTTCTTCATGTACCATGAACTACTGTACAGTAATTTTATTGGTCATTTTTCATTTTTGTGATCTGAAATTTAACGGAGACATAGCAATAATTGAATAACAGACATTACTGAAGTAGCATTACAAATTTATGATTTGCTAGACATTGAAAAAGGAATGTCATTATTTATACCATAGTTAGTGAATGAGTTTGTCAGAACCTTTTGCCTGTGTATCTTGCAGTAATTACAATTATTTAGAGGAAGCTATCGGTCCTTTTTTGTGAGAAGTAAATAAAAGATTTGTATAGAATATTGTAATTGGTGTGGCTTTCAACTATCAGTTCCCTGTTTTTGAGCCCCGATTTTCAGATTTCGCATTTGACAGCTGAGTAGTGTCATCAGTTCTTGCATAAATGATTCAACTTAAGGACAATTAAACTAATCTGCACTGATTTATAGAGTTTCACTAAAAAATAAGTTGAACTTTTAGCAACGTAACATTGAAGATAAGCTGTCATTGTTATCTACAAACATTATATTTATTAAAATGCTCGGTGTTTGATATGAATCTACGTCTACGTAAAATCAATGTGATTGTTAAAGTATGTTTCTAGAAAATTGCAATATCTGTTAGAAAATTAATCTTTTTTATGGAAGTAAGCGGCTACTCAGTTTTCCTCGTTTTCAACGATTATCTATTTTTTCTGGTTTGTGATTATATTAGCATTAGACAACCTTCATGGATTCGCATTTTGAAAAGATAACTGTTTAGGAAAATGTAAATTTTCAAGGATCTTCAACAGTTTCCAATTTCCATGAGTTTTACCTTACTGTATTTCAGTTTATAATTATTTTAAGAATGACAAGTAAATATATTTTAGTTCTAAAGCGTTAGAATAAGAGTGTATATATATATATATATATATATATATATATATATATATATATATATATATATATATATATTGCGTGTTCCGCAATAAATGATAATGAAATACACTTTTATGGTTCTTACTATTGTTTCTAAGTCTCATCCTTTAGTTTACTGATCCACTTTTATCTTATCGATAAGAAAATTATGTCTTGTAATATCTATTAATGAATTTTTCTATAATATTGGCAAAATATTGAACGGTTTGTCATGATTGTACCGTATATATCTCAGTAACAAGATACACATGGAGGCGGTGTAAATTATTATATTTTAACTGTTGCATAGTCTGGGGATAACTGGACGATTTCGTGTCTTTATAAAATTCAAACGAAAATGAGGGAAGTAAACATAAGACTTTGATAACATTTTTTAAGAGCATAATATATGAGGACAGAAAATGCAGTTTCATTCCATGCTATATAAAAGAAATTATTAAAAGTTTCTTCTCATCTTCTTCATCTTATCATTTTCTTAAACCTATGTTCGACACAAATTAGGTAAATATGTAACACAAATTATTCCGTACGAGTTAAAAAATGTCTTAAGAACTAGATGTGTGTTCAGATTGTTAGAAATGTAGTGCGTAAATATATCACATAATTCTAATAAACTTCGTCTTCTCATTGCATTATCGAAAAAAAATAGTTAGCGCAAGGTTCTTATTTGATAGATCATAGATATTCATAAAGAACAAAGAAAAATCTTTTAGAATACTTGGATATTTCATGTCATCAATAATAAAGTTTGATTGTAGTGTTGTTACTTGAATCCTTAGTTGTATATTCACATTTTAAATGTTAAGATGCTCTAACTGAAATCAGAATAATAGCTAGACTGTAAGTTAATAAGCATTTTAAAATTTCCACTTGCTTATCGGATACCACGTGGTACTACATAATCACTGTAATAAAGTAATATAATTCATACAACAGAAAATTTCCATTTATGCTTCAATTAACTACAAAATACCAAAGAAAGGAAAAGTATTCAGATTATAAAAATTGTATTTTACAGTGCGTTTATGAATACATTTATTTAACAATGCAAATCCAAAGTGCTTTGGAGTGAACAAAACTGTATCACTCTTAATAGATTTGAACTGGAATTCTACTCCATCATAGATTTATATTTGTAAATATTTTATGTTTAAAAATTAACTTCTCAATTTATTTTATGGTAATCAACATTGTGAAGCAGTATTTTTAAATCTCTTTATGTAGTTATTTATAAGTAGATAATTTTATTGTTCTTATCTTAGTTGAAAAGTATTGTTTTTTAATCTAAAATCCTTTTTAGAAAACTTTTTTGAATCACATTACCGTGAAAAGGGAGAGGCATATGATAGTATTGATTTTCCGGCTGATCGTAAATATGGTCAAGGTCCAAATATAGCAGATGTTACATCAAGTTTTATGCTTCTCTTGGGTATTTACTTTCCCTCTGTCACTGGTAAGTTGACCATTTGTTGAAATCAATAATAATCTTCATGCATAAATGAGTAAATTAAAAATGTGACTTATCCTATTTGATAGCACTGTTTTATCTTAAAGTGAGTTAATTTCTTACTGGGCTGTGATTCGATGATTTTTATAATTAATTCTGGTTACAAAATTATTATATTTTTGAAGCATGTTGAGAAAGACAAATTCATCGTTCCAATGCTTTCATTATGTTGAAATGGAGGGGATTTGTAGCTTAGGTGTTTTTTTTCTGTGCTGAAAAGTTTGGTGGTGAAGCTTTCATTGTTGTTCTGAACAACGTCATCAGCACAGACTTCAGGTAGATGTGAAGTGTCCAAATTTCTCTGTACATGACTCACAGCTTGTCCTCTCGACTTTTCAAAAGATTTCGCCCGTAATAGTTGCAATGTTATAACTTAATAATCAAATAAACCGATGGTAAATGATGTTTCTACGAAGGAACTCGTTATCAGGTTGAGGCCAATAATAAATTTCTTACTTTACCGTCGTACATCGTATAAGGTAATTCTTATCCATAGTTTATCTATCCACCAATTCTTCAGCAACAGGAGTCAGTAAGTTCAAATAAACGTCATGTAGCATCCTGAAATTATTTCAGTCCTCTCTTTTATGAAGCAATAAATATTTACGTCTGAAAATAACGTTTACATTCCCTAATCTAGACCGTTTCAACAAAGTTGGAATTTGCAAATTTGGTGAAGCATGTCATTTTCTGTTAATAGAAAATGTGAAGTATGTTCGAATGAACAATTATTTACTAAATTATCAATTACCTTTAGTTGTCTCTTTGTATACTTGTGTATCAATTGTATTCATCATAGAAATGATTTAGAGTCTATTTTAAATCAACCACAGAAATCTTTTAATGATTATATGTTTTGCTCAACCAAGAATAATTGTTGTTATGCTCTTCGTCCTGAAAGTTGCTGACCAGTTAAATTATTCTCATCATCAACGTTGATCTTATACTTCAATATAGCGAGTTATAATTTAAGAATTATAACTAGTGAAAGAACTAATCCTACTTTTTTATTTACAAATGTTAATATTGCATTAAACTCTAGACTAAAACTCACGTCTCCGTCAATTGGAAATTAGCTTTAATTGACAATTCGAAAACCTTTGGTTACTAACTCTGATTGAGTTGTGTATACTGCAAAAATTAGAGTTAAAAAGTTAAAAAACGTATTTCAGATCCAATATATTTATTTCGTATATTCTCCAGTACAGACATATAAGTATAGTCGTCAATTAGGAATTCCGAATTCAGTAACGTTACTAACAATATCTGCCTGATATAATATAATGATAAATAATTAAACAGAATTAAGTATATGTTATGTTCTTATGGCCTGTCAAATTATCACATGATAAGATCTCCAATCAGAACACCAACTCACACAACGTTGATCTTGTGCCAAATCAATCACTTATAACCAGCACGAGTAGCCTAGGGTCTACTCAGAGTACTTGTTGGTTCTTATCGCCTAACCAGTCATCTTGAGTTCAGAACTGTTGAGGTCTCTAGATCCCCAGAACTCATTTGGAAAAAGTCCTAATTTTGTAATTTTATTATGAAAATTTGAATTTTATGTTTTTGCGTCAAGAGATGCTTAGTTGACCTATAACTTACATTTCCCACACGGAAATCCTTGACTGTTATTGGTTGATGGATTTTCTAGTACGTTATTTTGTGGCTCTCCCAAGGGCAATTCTATCATTGTATAAATAAGCTTGATTTATGTGCTTAATGACCTCATATTTTCTGGGTGCTTATAGAATACATTCTCTACGCCTCATCAAGACTTCTTGATATAGTTACCAGGGCCGGGGACAACGGATTAGAATAGCCTATCGTGTCACTGTATCTTTGACCTTTGTTCCGTTTGCCGAGTAAGGTGAACTCTAATAGCATTCAAGCATATCATTTGGCGACATTGGTTTTGGAAATATGGATCCTTCTGAACTTGAATTATGACTTGAGCAGATGCTGAAACTAAAGCAGATATTGCCAGATATCACGATTTCGCCTCCCACACAGCCTATCACATCTAATGTAACCACAGCACCATTAGTAGATGGCATCGCAAATAGCATTGCTGAGTTTCATTATGATCCTGATGCTAAAGTTACTCTTGACATGTGATTTCGGCGTTATTAAAACCTATTTCAATTTAATTTCGCTAATCAAGATGATGGTTGGAAGGTTCGGCTGCTACTTCAAAAGTTGGGTGCAAGTGAGCTGGACATTTACTGTAATTTGATCCTGCCTTTGAACCCACTTGATCGCTCATTCTCAGACACAGTTAGATATTAGGCCAACATTTCGGCGACAAATCATCATTGTTTAACATTCATTATCGATGTTTGAAGCTAATTATGAACGAAGACGATGATTTTCTTACGCATGTGGGCATCGTCGACCGTGAATACGATCGCTTCCGGTTGAAGTCTTTGTCTGAAGACCAGTTTAAAGCCCTCATCCTCATTTGCAGCCTCCAGTCCCAAAAGTTCAGTGGCTACTGTGTCGATTGGATCAAGGTCCTTAACTCACCCTTAGTGACATGGCCAATCATTACCAACGCCTCATTAATCTGCAATGAGACACGACTATGATTCAGAGTTGTGGGTCTAATAGATCTGAAATACGAGTAGTGCAACAGACAACTAATCAGAATAAATGTGCCCCTGTTACTCCCAGTCCATCCCACTCCAGCTCAGTCCAACAGACTAAAACAACTTCCACCATCGCTTAAAAACCTACGACTAAAACGAATCCCTTGAAACACAAAAACCTCGTACTGTATGTGCTAATTACCTTCTCTTGTTAGAACAATTGAAATTTAAAGTTATTTTTCGAGATTCCTCGTTTACTGGGATATGTTATATAACGCCAGCTGATCTAAATTTACTTGGTTTAGATTGGTTCGACCAGCTAAAACTAGCTGATGGTAAGTTGTATCGCAATAGCCAATAGGTCAGGTGAAAGGAATACGAATATATATATATATATATATATATATATGAAGTAGTAATATAGTTCAGTTTTACATTAGGGATTTCAGCAAGAAGCATTACTCATTATAAAAATTAAATAGTTGTTTGCTTCTAAAAGTGTTCTTGCTTAGGCGATTGCCCAGAGCAATAGGTTTACTAATTATTTTTATTATAATTATTTGTTATTTTACTTAAAAGTCAATTGCCATTTTCAAAATACTACTTTTTCATCTTTTATTTTTTTTAAACTCGTGTAAATCTTCTCCCCATCTAGGCATCATGGCTGGTTCTAATCGATCGGGTGATTTGACAAATCCTCAGAAATCTATTCCATTGGGAACTATATTGGCTATAACAATGACGTCGCTTGTATGTATCCTTTTAGATACTAAGGAAGAAATCTGTAAATTACAATAAATCAATTAGTCATTTCCACTTTTCTTGTTATCACTCTAATTGCTAACCAAATATTTTTTTAATCACGTTACACAGTTTCATTAAGTCTTTTTTTTGTTTGTTTAATCATATAATTCTGAATAAGTGGGAAGATGTTTTTTTTATTTTTGACTAGATTTTAAATCACTAGTAACTTTCGGTTTTTTTATAGTAGGAACGACAGTATTTCAGATTAATCAACCTAGAAAATATGAGCTTTGTATTGATAACTTTATTTCGATTCGCTACTTTACTGTTTTTTAATTAATTTTGTTTAGTTTTCTATCACCATTCTTTGTTCATCACATGAAGTAATCAATATGTTAAATACATCCACAACTTATTTCCAATTAAATGTTAAAATATCTTTATTTTGAATGTTTTCTTTTTGTTTATCTACAAGTCAATTCTGAATCTAAAGGATTCTTTGTTTATATTTGAATTAATCAAAACTATGACAACTGACATTACTGCTTACTTTTTGAGCGTCAAATATGGATTACTTGTAAAAAAAAAGATCATTGAATATTCATCAGTACCACTTTGTCTACGTTTTTAATCCCGACTGAAGTCTATCAATTATCACATTATTATTAATGGGTTTTTTTCCTTAAGTGTATTTAAACTTTACTTTCAATAAGTTTGATTTTATGTATCATACTAATATGGGAATAACTATAGCTTTTAATTGAGTTTAATCGAGGTAAATGGAATTGATTGCTGTCAAAAAGTAGGGTAGTGTAAAATCAATTCTAGGTTATTTTCTGTTGATTTAAATGTTTTCTTATTAACTTCCTTTTCTATCAAACGTAGAAATCAAGAATTAGTTTTTAGAAATAACAAACTTCTCGTGTTATAAACAATTTCAAACATAAGTATATATTTACCAACTTTATTGATTATATTATTTCCAAGGACAGTAGATTTAACCACATATATATATGTGGATGTGAATACATGTTCTTTGGAGAACATTTTGCCGTAGGCGACGGAGTGCATTCATCTGCCATTCTTTTATTTTATAATTTTTCTACATATATCGATATCATATGTATTAAATGCGCACAAATTGACGTGTTGCCATAGTTTATTATTTGTTTTATCTTGTTTTATGCGATTTTTATGGTGAAACAATTAGAAATATGAGTGAATTTAAGTTATTCATAGATATAATAAATATTCGAGTGTCAATAAGATAATTTTCATTGTTTTACCATTTTAATTATATAAAATTCATCCAATAAATAACTCCTTAACTTTTCCACATTTTATTAAACTGTTATTTTTACTTAAATAACAATGATGTCTAATTGTTGTACACCTCTTTATCACAAAATTTCAACTGACAAGATTTATCATCACCTTTATTGTTTGCTGCAATCTGTGATGGCTCTGTTATGAGAGATAAGTGAGTGTCTTTTTTCACAATTTTTTGGTTTATGATCAAACAGCTTTTTATGTAATATTGATTGAGTGTTTTTGTTGAATTAAGTTTAATTCTATTTACACCAATAATCTCATTAGCAAACAATATTCCTATCAACTACATGATATGGTTAAATTTTCTAAGTATTCAAGAAGTATTTATCTGATCCGGGTAAAATCTAATGTAACTTAAAAAATATTAAAAAATCCGATTATATCTGTATCTTTACTACCGGTCAGTCGATAAAAAGTACGTGAAGGCACAAACTTTAGAGTCAATTGTCTTTCAGAAATCTTATGAATTTTGTAGTGGTCTGTCAATTATGGATGTATTCTAATTTTGGTGATAAAGGTAATTCAATAATCTTCAATATCTGCTTCAGTAAAAGATGTGGTAATGATAACTTTTCGATTCCTGTCATTTTGTAATTAACGAGAACTCAAAATTACAGAATGTCTTGATAAAATATGAGAACTATGCACTAAATACTTCATTTACAAAGTTCCATCACTTGTCTTTCATATTTTGTATCATTCTTCCTATTCTCGTTATCTTTCTATTTCCGTTTCTATTCTCTTAAACCTGATTTTCTTAGGTTTCTGCTGTCGAGGTTTCCACTTTGGTGTTACATACTACTTATGACTGTCGACATAAATAGCATACACCACAATTTTAGACAATTATCATAAAGTTTAGTATCATATTAACCGACTATTTTTGCTGAACACTTGTTTCAGGTCATCGTAGAAACAAATGTCAACAAATAACTCTATTCAAATTCATTCTCCATCAGGGTTCATTCTTTTTAGGTTGGCATCTAGTTGAAGATACGTTGCTACTGAAATATTATAAAGAAAAACATTTGGATAAAAACCTGAGAGCTTAAACAGCAAAATAAGACATGATTCCAAGACTACTACTGACATCTTATGGAATCGACAACAATTAGCACTGAAAAGCAGTGATTTAAAATAATCTTTATACTGACACTTGAAATGTAAAATGAAAGCTTTCAAATGGTATTCAATGCCTAATACTGTGTATACTTACAATAGTTTTTCGTGAAAACTATTTACCTTCTTTAGTTCTTTTAAGAATGGGAACTTCTATTTGACGAGTAACGTATACACAGTTTAGTGTTTGGTTACATTTTTGAAATACAGCGTATCAGGTGACGAGTTTACCTGTAACTAATTGTTTTCACTTAAGTTAAACCTACGAAGGTAATCGATAAGCTAACAACTATTGTTTGAATATACATTCCAATGCTATTTATAAACAATAAACCAAAAATAGGAAAAAAACGAATGTAATGTTTGTGTTTTTCTATTTGTCATTGCATCATGGACATGTTTGCGTCTGACTGTCAATACAATAATAAGGATTTCTGCATTCTTTGTTTCCTCAATTGACTACTGTTTACCAATAAACAAAATAAATGGTGTATAAAAAGACTAACATTAAACGCACTGTTTGTATTTGATAATCAAAAAAGCCTTAACAGAGAACTTGGAATACAACAAGCTACCCTTAGGAAGCTGCTTATTAAATAATGATTTGTAACCTATCTCTGTCAACCATGTTTATAACAAAGATTGGTTTGGGAAGAGTTCTCTTTTTTTGGAGGACTCATCTTCAAAGCTGCACAGTCGTAATTATATGCTTATTTTTCAAGATGATAATACAATAACAGCGATAGTAATATTTTGCCAAACATACTAACAGTGTGGTAGAGTAAAAAAGATATTAAAACGTTATTTTTACCAGGGGAACTAATAGTAATTTAATAGTTAAGATCGTGAGTCAATTGAAGCTAGACCACTTTGGAAAACCTGGAAGCATTGGACGGCCATTCCACCTTTGTATGGAACTCCTCAGCAGTGCGTGTCCAAGATCCCGCTTCGCAAGTTTCGAACGCAGCACCTACCAGTCCCACTAGACCACTGAGCCGGCATCCATTATTGTTAATGTCTAACTTCAACTGATCCACGAAATTAAGCGACACATTCACCATTGTCTTCAGTGACTTACTATCTCACAACCGACCCAGTTGAACTCCATTGGTCACTGCTTCTCACTAGAACTCCAGGAAATACCTCTTGAAGCCAGTCACTTGTGAGCATGTTCCGATTAGTATCAGAAGGGGTTTTGTGGATATTATAGTAATTTAATAGTTGGGATCATGAGTCAATTGAAGCTAGACCACTATGGAAAACCTGGAAGCACTGGACGGGAGGTGGGATCTTGGTTGCGCACTGCTGAGGAGTCTCACAATAGGAGAAAACAGCCGTTCAGTGCTTACAGGTTTTCCATGGTAGTCTAGCTTCAAATGACACACGATCCCAACTATTAAATTACTATAATATCTAAAAAAAACTCCTTCTGATATTAAACTAATAATCATTTTATTGTTAAAGGCTTGAATATTCGTCATGAAGATAGATAGGGAAATTATAATTAGGAAGGAAACGCTCAGTATGATCAGATAAAATGTTGAAATTGAGATGATATGCAATTAGGAGCATCATAGAAACAAAAATAAACCATTTAGAGGTAAAACACTATTTGTATGACACGTAGCTTTATTCCAACAGAAAATTAATTCTAATGTTTTAACATCACAACTCTGTAGTTGACGTCTCATGTTTTACATATATATCAATGGTTTTTGAAAAAAACTTTCCAATCGTAATCCTGTTTTTGATAAATAAAATGATTAATAAGTGTTTGATAGTAAACGGACCATAAGTTCACTTGATTGTAGCTATTAATAACATAAAATATACATACAGACACACATTTAATTTCACGTTGTAATTTTCTCAAATTATTCACATTTTACTGACTGAGCATACGAATGTGACTGGACAGGCCTTCAGTGTAGAGTTATTTATTAAGGATCATATGTAAATTCTTTAAAGTACAGACAGGATTACCGGGCGAAACGTTGGAATTATTTAATTTTACATTCCTTGAGATTGTTTCAAAGATAGGTGTTACACCTTATATCTATATACCAGGGCGCTCAATTTCTATCAAACTATTTGCTCAAATATTGACGAATGGTTATATATTAAACAAATGATACAGTAGGATATAACGCAAACGTCGACATGGCGTCTAGGTCTTTTGGATTTTGGGCCCACACGTAAGCAAAAGTAAACGTGATTTGCAAGTTAGTTTATCCAGACATGTACCAAAATGGATACAGAAGTAAACATGATCGAACAACCCAATGAGAGTGGAAGACAAGCGTTTACTTTTCTCTATTTCTCAAGTCATATTAAAAAGGAGTTCATAAGGCCAATCTTAACTCAGCCTCTGTAGTTGTGTAGAAATTTTTATAGGGCATATGCTAAGGTTTATTCAAACCTTGGGCATGCGAAAATCCAAACATTTACGCTCTAACCTTAAATCTAACTTGATGATATGAATTTATTATCCAGGGTGGTGTTTCACGCCTTTTTTATTATCTTTGTTTCTTCTTAATTTTCAGTTTGTTTCGTCAAGCTTTTATTTCTCATATATAAATGATCTTTGTTAGTATATGTATGATTTGATTGTTCGAAATGCATTGCATGTATTTCTGGCAATTTTCATCTACACTATTCAAATTTATCAAAGGGGTTAATTGTTTTAAATATTGTAAAACAATATGAATTAATAAATTTATGACTTGAATTGAAAGTTATCATACGTGATTTTTTTTCTAAACTTTTCTTGTATTTATGAGCATAAATTGTTCTTTAAATTTGATCCAAGTTTACTAGGGTTTATTTATTTCTTTTTTAAAAAAAGTTTTCATCCTTTTAATCACATCGTAATATTTATTTAAAAAAACAAAACTTTAACAGATTCGGTGAAAGTTATGGTGGTATATTGTTGGTCGCTGCATTTGCATGGCCACATTTTTGGGTTATTTTGATTGGATCATGTTTATCAACAATTGGAGCTGGTTTACAATCATTAACTGGTGAGTTTATACTACTAATATTGTTATATATAAAAAAACTGTGTTAGTGCAGATAATTTTCAATAACTTCTCAGTTAATTATTTCATTCTGCAGTCTAATATTTTTACATTGTGAATGTTAAATAAAATGGTGAAAATAAACGTTTACTCCGTTTTGTGTTTACGTATTAACATATATTTTCGTTACAATGTAACTATCATATCTTGATAAGAATTACATTTTATGAATAGTTTTCTAAGTGTAGTTTGTAAGTAGTCTATCTGTTATTCATTTTTCTTCGGGTTTCTTTGTCAGTGAGTTGTGTTGTATTTGTGTAGAATATAACTTATATCAGTCAATTTACAGTTGCTGGATACAAAACGCTCTGTATTCGCTTCTGATAAATCAGTAATGCAGTAAAAATGTATCTACAGTGACTCAATATAACTGGAAGACATATATGTCTCTTGTTTTCAGTGAATTAATGACTTGATAAATTGTCTAATCTTTGCAATACGTGCACAAATACTAAATACTTATACCACCATATATATTAATATGTTTTGTGTACGGGTTAGTGGTACTACCTGTTTGTCCAAATCAACTCAATTAAAGTTGGGTTTTCAGCTTTTGGTGAAGTTTTTGTAGGATAACCGCTTTGTTCGCATAGTTCTCACATATGTAATGAATATTTTATGCACGTATTGCTTCATTTTTCTACGTATAAAGGAGCTGTATACATTTCAATGGAACGGTAAAAACATCTCATTGAAGAAATCTTAAAACTAATTAGTTATTAAGTATCCAATATCAAATTTAAAATCTGTATTTTATATACAGAACTTTACTATTGATATCACATAGTGGCCACATTGGACATGAAACAGGGCGTTTAATTACTAGATTCACTATATTTACATGAACTAGCCAAATAAATACGCTAACTGAACTAGTGACGCTCGTGATGAAACTAGAAAAGAACTCATAAAATGTTTTAAGGTAGTCGCGGATATAATTAATTAAAGGTAGAAGCTGTTTCGATGTAAATATCGTGTAATAGTGAATTGCATGATGATTTTAAGTCTGATGAAGGGTCAAAACTACTGTCAATTTACCATGTTTACGAAAATATAAAACGTGTACAGTGCTTCTTTAATCCCTATGGTTGAGGATGGGCTAATTTGAGGAAAATCATCTGTGTAAATGATCGTAACAAAACATTTGGAGTTGAGATATACTTGTAATAACAAGGTGCCTGTATAACCAGAGATATGTAAAACTGCAGATATGTTTTAAACATTGGAAACAGAGAATTTTCATCTTTTTTTCAAAAACCATGTGTAGCTCATTGAGGATGGGAACGATTTATTGAGTTATCTTCTTATGATCTCCATCTATTCATTGGGCGTATTATATATGGATCCAGTTTAGAGTAAATGTTTTACATTGCTGTCAAAATGAAAATATTAGAAAGTGTATAAAATTAGCTACTTCGAAGAACTGTTCAAATTTAATTATCTTAATTACTTAAGTTGTTTTTCATCTTATTTGTTTCATACTAATGAAAATCATTTAACAATTGTTTTGTTAAGGCAGTTCACTTGCAAACGTGATTTTCTTTTATCAGTAGTCCACCCTATTACTACAGGCTTTCTTAAGTGGTCCAAATAAAATGTTAATCAACCACTCCATTTTTATTTGGACTGAAGTATTTCACAACATTATTATATAATTAATGTGATGAAAATATCAATAGAGTTTCTTTTTTCATCCATACGTAAGACCACTTCAAAACTTACGTGACATTGTAACTACTAATTAGCAGTTTTGTTTCACAAAAATAGAGTTTAAATCTGATAACTTACATTCTACTGCCTTAAACCAGGAAATAGCCACAATTACTTGCATTTCTCTCAAGTCCGAGAAAAATTCTGATGATCGTTCTTACAAGCTTTTATAAGGTTTTTAACTCACGCTAATTTAACCTCTTTTTCATCAACCTCAATTTTTTTAACAAAATAATTTTATTTTGAAGCATGATTTTTAATATATTTATAACACAAATGGTGTTGTTGACCTAAATGTTTTATTATGACAAGAATACAGTGGCCATTTATTGGATCTTTTTTTATCGTTGACTTTTAGCTATACCAAGTTGATTGAATAAGTGTATTACGCTTCTTTAATATTATGTATTAGGTTGCTTCTCTCTACTGAATGTGTTATTTCTTCCAGATTTCAAATCATAATTTTTTAATGACAAATTTTGCGATCTCGTTCAATGCTTTACATAGCAATATAACAATAGCTAACTGACGTCATACTTTGCAAAATAATTGTTTAAAGAAAATCTCTTTTTCATGTGTGCAACTTCAGATCAGATTAAAATTATGTTATTGTCTAGATAAACAATATATAGGTAATAGTAAAAACAAAAAAGTGGGGGCATTTCTTGATGGGGCTGCATTCTCAGAACAAATCAGTTTAATTGTGATTTTTTATGGCCTTCGTAGATGTCATTAGTTCAAACTTTACATGAAATTGACTTATCGGAAGTTTGTTCTGATTATGTTTCCCACAAGGATATTCAAAGCTTAATGATTAAACTGATCAGGCTGCTGTGTTAAAGCCATCTTCCTGAGTGACAAATATTTGAAAGTGTTATCGTGTACTCTGTAAGTTTAGGAGTGTAAAGTTTTAAGCAAACCAATGTGTTGTCCTAAATATTTATACAAATTCATTTCATCATATGTCAAATTCCGTAGAATAAAATAATAGAGAATGGTCTCCTACTGTATGATTCTCTTAGCATAAAATAACTATCGTGACTTTACCAGCTTAATACAACCGGTTAATAATCGTATGCATGGTCGATTTTCCAACTTGCTACGATTTGGTTTAGTAACAATTGCTCACAAATCCAAAGAATCGGTATTTAAATATCAATTAACGTATATTGTAAGGCAATTACCAAAAAAGAAAATGAGGGTCGTTTTATACAAAAAAAACCATACGTTTATGTAACTCATTTAAAGACGTTACGATTGCAAAAACCATAGGAACTTATTCAAACTCTTCTCCTTTCATGGTCCTCTAAAGCCATTACTTTTCCCCTGTCTTTTTCTACTGGTTATCTCAGTCAGTCAGTCAATCAGTCAGCTACAACGTAGGACCAGGCACTTATGTGCATCGGTCCAGGTTGCCATACCGCATCAGCACAACAAGATGAACACCGGATTCATAGGATTGATTATGTCAAAGGTGGTAATATATAGGAGAAAGATTGCATATAGAGATATAGTACAAGAAGAAATAATTGGTTCGTAGAAAGAAAGATATGAAGTGATTTTAATCTCTTAGTTTAAGGGAAGACAGGGAGTGTATACACCGACGCCATTGTGATCGATTCTGAGCCATGTCACCAAGAGTCTCCAACCATCGGTTACGAAAGTCACGCGGATACCAACCAAGTAGTCTGCATCTACCAACATGGCTCAGACTAAAAGTTAGTGACTTCAAGCACTGATGCCACGTTTTGGTTTGGCCGCCCCTTACTTTCTTCCAACCATCTCCAATACCGGATAGCATTGCACGTCGTGGTAATCGGTATTCAGGCATACGTAACACATGGCCCAACCATCTCAATCGATGAAGATTCATAACCTCATCAACTGATTTACCATCATTTCCTAATACCCTGCGTCTAACCTCACTATTACTTACCCGGTGATCTCAGCAGACGCCAGCAATATTTCTAAGGCATCTGTGGTCAAGTACTAGTAGCTTACGAGTGTCTTCTAGTCTTAAAGGCCATGTTTCGCTGCCGTAAAGTAAAACAGAACGGACTGCCGCGCAGTATACTCGTCCTTTTATTGATAGGCGGATATCTCGTCCTCGACATAGGTGACGTAAGTTGGCAAAAGCCGAACGAGCTTTTCGAATCCGTGCTGAGATTTCGTCAGACACCAACCCATTAATGCTGATCAGACTTCCAAGATAAGTGAAGTTGTCAACGCGTTCGACTACTTCACTCCCTATCCTTAGTTCAGGTGTTAACGCAGACCAGTCCTGAAGCAACAACTTGCATTTAGAGGGAGAGGAGCGCATTCCAAACATTTTGGCATTGTTGCTCAGTGCTACGAGAAGACTCTGCATTTTGTCAGCGTCTTCACCAAACAGGACTATGTCATCTGCGTATTCTAAGTCGATAAGTGGACCTCCTGGATGGAGATCAATACCCGAGAACTCAGTCGACGAGAAAGTTATTTCCATTAGTAGATCTATGATGAAGTTAAACAATAATGGAGAAAGTGGACAGCCTTGACGGACACCACTTGAGGTTGCAAAAGTAGATGACAGTTCGCAATAAGCTCTGACTCGACTAGTAGTGTTCGAGTAAAGAGCATTTACAAGGTTTATGTAGTTCTGGGGAACGCCTTTCAATGACAGACACTGCCACAGAATCTCGCAGTCTACAGAGTCAAATGCTGCCTTTAAGTCAAGTTAGATTAGCTATAGCCTTCTGAAATTCAGCTAGAGTCGGGGGACTTACTTCAATGTTCCATTCACATTATCTGGGAATGGAGAGTAGTTGTAGAGTAGCTGAAGGCCAGTTGAACTGTTCTCTAAAATGTTACGCCCATCGTTCTAAACGTCTGGACTGGGAGCAGATGAGAGTATCGTCTTTTTCCGATATAATCTCACTCACACTTGACTTATTAATTCCAGTTTCTTTTATTAGTCTGTAAAGCTGTTTTGTGTTCCCTATAGTCGGCGCCTTTTCCATCTCTTTTGCTTTCGTGATGGGATGAGTTTGAGAGAATCCATCAGTGTGGTAGACCTTGTAACTCTGTGGCTTAAGTCACTAATAGATTTCATTGCTGTTTCCCCAGCTGTTTGTGTACCTTTCCAAGCAACATCTGGGTCAGCCTCGTTTTCAGAACTACCTAAGTGTGACCTCAGTTGTTCCTGGAACCTACTTTTGGTTTTCTCGCTACTCAATGAGTCTTTTTAGTGTGGC